AGGAAACAAAATTTCGGCTCAAGGAATTGAGATTTTACCAGAAAGAGTATTAGCTATAAATGAAATTCCTGATCCAGGAAGCGTTGAAAGTTTAATGCAATTTTTAGGATCAGTTAACTATGTTTCAAAATTTATACTTAATAAGTCTCAAATTCTTAAACCACTTAATTGTTTACTAAAAAAAGGAGTTGAATTTAACTGAGGAGATTGTCAAAAAAGGGCATTTCTTGAAATAACAAGATAACTACAAGAAGCTCCTATTTTAGCTCATTTCAATTACAAAAAATTAATAATTGTCCAAGCAGACGCATCTAGCGCCGGGCTAGGAGAAGCGTTGCTACAAGAAGATATTAACAAAGCACGCGAGGTCGTAGCTTACGCGTCAAGAACTCTTACACCCACCAAAAAAAGAATAGTCATATAAAAATAGAAGCTCTGGCCCTTGCGTTTGCTACAGACAAATTCAAAGACTATATTACGGGAATAACAGTAGTACTGGAAACAGACCATAAGCCTTTATTGCAAATTTTGAAGACGAAACCTATTGATGAAATAACTCCGAAATTACAAAGAATTAGAATGCGTCTAATGAGATTTAATTACAAGATAAATTATATACCAGGCACGCAAATAGTTTTAGCTCATGCTCTGTCCAGAAGTCCGATTAATAATAATACTAAGGTAATAGATGATTTGCAATTCGAAACTAAAAGTTACGTAAATTTTGTAGTAGGAAACCTTCCCGCGACAAAAAGTATGATGACAAGAATTTGTGAGGAGCGAAATTGCGACTTTATTTGTAGATCCTTAATCGATTATTGTACAAATGAATGGCCAATGAAAAACCAACTTGAAAAATGCTTAATACCGTACTACCAATTTAAACATTGTTTTTCGTACGATGAAAATATTTTATTGCATGGTGCTCGAATCGTAATCCCACCATCATTGCAACTTGAAATATTAAACAAAATTTATGATGGTCAACAAGGTCTAAACAAGTCTCGCGAGCGCGCTAAGCAGTCAGTTTGGAGGTTGGGATTAAGCACGCAAATAAAAAACTTAACTGAAAATTGTCTGAATTGTATCGAAGAGCGCAGTCAATTAAAATAACCATTTGTAAAAGATGATCTTCCACCAAGACGATGGCATAAAGTAGCGGTTGATTTTTTTTAAACTCAGAAATGGTATTTGATTACTGCGGACTATTTCTCTCGTTTCATTGAAGTTTGTGAAATGCGTACTTTAACTGAAGATGACACTATAGTGGAATGTAAGAAACTATTTGCTAGGTATGGTATACTAGAGATTTTAAAAACAGACTGTGGAACTCCGTTTTCCTATAAATTTAAAAAGTTTGCATGTGAATATGGTTTTACGCATATTACAAGTTCTTCAAAGTATTCACAGAGTAATGGAGCCGTGGAGTTGGCTGTTAAAATTGTAAATATTTGCAAAAAAAATCTAATGATTTTTATTTGGGCTTACTTGCCTATCGTACGACTCCCCCTGAGAACGGATATTTACCCACTGAATTGATGTTCTCAAGGAAAATCCGCTCAAGATTGCTGATTTCACAAAAAAATCTTGGTACTTTTAAAGAGCATGAAAAAATTGCTTTAAAAGAAAAGAACAGGAAAGAGTATCAAGAGCGAAATTACAACAAGCGACATAACACAAAAAATCTCTCCTTGTTAAAAATTAAAGACCATGTATGGATTACTGATTTGCGCGTATATGGTACTGTAACAGGAGTAAATAATTGCCCAAATACGTATATAATAAAAACGGGAAAAGGAAGCGGGCTTCGACGGAACCGCTGGCATTTAGTATCAGCACCGTACAGGCAATATACGAATGTTAGTAAAAACAAAGAGAACGAGGTGTTATGGCCATTTGAAATATAAGCTCCCTCATGCAAATCAAATGAAACCCATACTAATGTTAACGGCAACAATACTGATAATGGAGCGCTTCATACTGAAGATAGCGGTAATCCCGAATTGCATCGATCCAATCGGACAAGAAAAGCTCCTGAAAGATTTAATATGTAATTCTTGCTTTATAGCATTTTGTAATTTTAAATAATATTCAATTTTTCATTTTAAATAAAAAAAAAGGGATGTTGTGTGAATAAGCCCTGAGCACCACTAACGGATGAGAGCCGCAGCACGTCTGGCTGAAGGGCAGAACAAGCTGAGCTCGGTGGGTGGATGCACGCTTCCACTCATGGCACACGCACACGCTAACCCGAGAGATTAACCCAAACAATAATCTTGTGTAACTATTTATTTATACCCACTACCAAAATACATACTTACTGTGTTATACAACATAATTAGCACTAGAGCATACAAGCCAGTTATTTAAAACTTCAATGCTATTAATTCATCTACAATATAAAAATTGTAGCATATATATATATATTCTTGGAAATGTTACAATTGTTATTTATTAGAACAAAGTTTTTCACGTCACGTACTAGGGGGGCTGGAATTTTCAAAACAACACATTGTATGAAACGGAAGTCACTTACCAGAAGTCTCTTTCTCGTAAGTTTCTCCCCTTACCCCGTCGCCCTCACCATCAGTCCCCTACACACTTCCCCACACCCTATGTCTTCCAATCGTCATGTACTAGTCTTCTTCACCCCTCCGCCCAGCATTCTTCTTCCACTCCCAAGCGAATAATTTTTAACGTAGTGTCTATTCGCACCAAAACGCACCGTATATCTACGTAATTACGTGGATATAGTGAATACGCATGCACAGTGGGTAACTCTACTGTCCGGTACTTATAGGGTCCAATTTTTTTTTTTTTTTCCAAGCG